GGGGAGGATTGTGTTTGCTGCCTAAATAAATTGGACCCCAACCCAGTTTCCTGAATTGGACCAAGGACATCAGGGCTGGATCACACGGCAGATCGTGGAATGAGGGGCTAAAGCTTCATCTTCAGGTCAGCATGAGTCCTGGGATCCTGAGCAGGGCCGAGCTGGAGGTGGTAGGGGTGTCTCTCAGTCACAGCTCCCGCAGAGGAGGGCTGCAGTGGCTGGGGAGCCAGGGAAAGCCCCCTGAGGGGTCCTTAGAGACGTCTCACATTTACAAATGGGGAAACTGAGGCTCAGAGAGGGTGAGATACTTATGAGAGTTCATAACTAGGGCTTTTATTCATCCTTTTGGAGCCTCTGACGATCCTGAAATATTGGGCTACGAAGTGGTATTTGCATGAACTCAACGGAGATTTCATTGCAGGTTTTCTTAGCAAGTTATTTGAAGCAGTGAAAATTCCTACTTCCGGTGAGGTGCGTGTTCCTGGGTGTGGGTGACCTCATGCCCATGTGGTCCATCTTTCCCTGAGACAGGCAGTTCCATTTGCTATCTATCCGTTTCCTCCTACAGGTTTGAGAGCATGGGTAAGGAAAGACTCATCTGTGAAAGCACTTTGCCTGGAAGGAGATGCAGAAAAACAAGACCAAAAGTTGAAAAATGAACAGGAGTGAGCATCAACAAGAATGCAGAGAGGGGAAACACACACCACACACACACCCACACACACACCACACACACACACACCACATACACACTCACACACACCACACACACACACACACACACACACACACACACACGTGAACATACCAAATAGAAAGCTGTCACCCATGTCAGGTGGTCCTCAGCCAGTCCCAACGGCTGTGGACATGAGTCTCCACAGTGACATACTGAGGAATTTCAGTCTTAACATCTGCAAGAACCACAGCGTGATCGGGCCAGCAAACCACTAGCTGGCTCGTTTTGCTGGGATTATGGGTGGACATTGTCTTTTTCCATTTTTCTTTAATGTGGTTACATTTTATAATGAAAGAGTTTTTTTGTTTGTTTGTTTTTCTATTTTTTAAAGAAGGACAATCCAAGATGAGTACACCTGTCAACAGTTTAGTGTGTGATTTTTCGGGTAACAAAGGGAGTGCTCGCAGGAAGGAGAGCAAGGTTGTGGTTTAAAAAGAGAAGAGGCCACAGGGAATTTCCCATTTATGGAAATCGACTTTTTGTGGTCAACTTCACGTTCATTGTTAATGGATGATCAGTAGGACCAAAGATGGAATTTTGGAGTGGGGAACCCAACAATGGTATGGAAATTTCAAAACTTTAACGTTAGTCATTCTTTTCCTACAAAAAAAGGTGCAATTTAATTCAAGTAAAGTAAGTTATTGTTGAAACAGCTCTGAGCCTGACCAATGAGGAAACAGGGCTTGGCTGCTTCCTCTGAGTGGATTTGATTTCCTATAATCAACCTGCTTGGTCTCTAAAATCCTCCAAGTAAAATCAGTAAAATCCACCGATTAGTGAAATCTGGAGTTAAAAGAGATGTTGAGAATGGCAGGAACACACTTTCTGGATTCGTTTTTCTCAGCAAAACTTAGGCCACTGTAGCGAGAGATGCTCAGCACTGGGCTCTGGTGGTTTGGGGAGAAGGGTCCTTGTCACTGTCCCAAAGCATGGACTTTCCCAAGGACACGCTTCCTGTGGGTCAGAGTGAACGTGCTGATGAGCTGTGCAAACCCACACCTGGATGTGTGTTGGGGGGGAGGGGCGCAGGAGGCATCGGCAAGAGCACTGGCCAGGGCATCGCCCAGGTGACCGGGGGTTAACTCAGCCCAGTGAGCTGGATTCCTCCACTGTTGCTTACAGGGTTTCTGGGAGCTTACAAATAACAGACGACAGGCCTTCCCAGGCTCTGACCTCAACCAGTGCTCATTAGTGTTGTCCTTGTCAGGTTATTAGCGGCACTAGGATCTTCAAAGCCAGGCTCGAAGACACCGCAGACAGTCACACGTGCGGGGTTGGGGGTCAGGAAATCGTGTGTCCTGTTGGCACTGGACAAGAAGCTGGAATCCAATTTGCAGGTGGCTCAAAGCCTGAGGAGATCGTTGGGCTCTGGAGGGACCTCCTCCAGTAGGAAGATGACTGACCTCCAATGGTCAGTGCAAACCTGAGGTCCAGATGCCCACCGCACTGGAGTAGAAAGCCAGGTGGCACAGGACTTCACAGCGCTGGGTGACGGTGAGTTGACAGTGAGGTATGGCCACTCCCCTGAACTGCGGACACTGTCCCGGGCCAGGAGGTCACAGGAGCATGTGCTGAGTGCAGGCACCTCTCTAGTAGGGTTGCACGGACCATCTCATACAAGCCCATGATAGCTTTCCAAGTGGGGACTGTTCCTTACACGTGAGGAAAGGAATAGCAGAAATCGTGGCACTTGTCCAAATTTGCACAGCTGAGTGTGAGCTAAGCTTCCTGCCTAGCAACATCAGAGTCGAGTCCCCGGGCGCGCCCAGCTGCACGTGGAACCGTGCTCCATAAGGAACGGCGTCTTGGCCTTGCTGGCAGCACGGGCCCGCTCTGCCCATGCGCCCTGGCGGACACCATTCTGTGCTTTGTCTCTATGGCTTTACCTGCTCTGGGTGTGTCACTTAAATGGAGTCAAGCAACATGTGGCCCCTGTGGCTGGCTTTTTACACTTGGCGTTTTGCCTTTGAGGTTCATCCATGTTGTAGCATGAAAACCCTGCGTCTGGACTGGTTTTCCCAAATCTCCGCTCATGTGCAGGCACTTTATGCCTCTGGGAAGTTTCCTCAGCTTTTGGTGTGCGTTCGGGTGCTCTGACCACTGAGCAGGTGGCCTCCTGCCCTTTCGCTAGCTTCACCCACATGTCCCTCTTCTTCCTCCCTTTCCCTGGAGAGCACGCCCTCTCCGCCTCCTCAGCCCCAGAAAACTCCCTCTCACATCGAGGCGCTGAATTATCGAAGAATTGCGTCTGAGTAACTCAGTTCTCTCCCTTGATGCTGTTTGCCCCCCTGCCCGCCCCCTCTGCCCCACCTCAGGGAGCAGATGGAGGGAGAGGGGAGGGAGTTTATCTGTAGGAGCAGCCTCGATGGGTCGGGAGACTTACAGCATGATCCCACGTCCTGGTCTTGCCAGGACAGTCCCAACTTACGGCGGTGGTCCTTCCTTCTCGAAGGCATCCTGCTTTGAAGAATAAATTATATGCTTGTCGATGACTACGGGGTTTTGTGTGCCCCAATTCGATAATAGCCAATCTAAGGAAAGAGGGTCCTCCACACAGGGGACACAGTCAGTCCTGGACACGACATAAAGGGGATGGTGAACACTGGTGGCGTCTGTTCATCTCCATCCAGGGAAAAGCGGCTGTGCTGACTATTGGTCTAGTCCAATAGCCAGGCCATTCTTGGTGAGGGAATAATGCCAGGGCTGGTCATCCGTGGACATCAATCTTACCAGTCAAAATGCAAGAGAGTGAGTGTCTTCCGATGATGATTTGGCTTCTCATGCAGTGTGACCACGGAAAGAGAACGTGCCAAACGCGTGGACACAGCTAAATTCCTTGTTGTATATAATCTTAAGTCTCCCTAAGCCATCTGTTCATTTATTTTTAGTTTTCTGTATTGTAGGCAAATATAACATGAAATTGACCATTTTAACCATTTTTGAGTGTACAAATCAGTGGCGTTAAGTAGATTCACACTGCTGTAAAACCATCACCACCATCCATCTCTAGAACTTTCTTATTTCAAACAGAAACTCTGCACCCACTAGACACAACTCCCCATTTCCTCCTTGCCTCACCCCCAGGTTAACCTCTATTGTACTCTTTCTCTATGAATTTGCCTATTCAGGGTAGCTCATAGAAGTGGAATCATACCATACTTGTCCTTTCGTGCATCTATTCATTTCCAAATTTCATTTTGTTTCACCATCAAAGCATTTACTAGGAGGTAACCTCAAATGATGCTATAAAGGGTAGTACCTTACATTTGTGTGACGCTTTGCACCTTCTAAGAATTGTCTAATGTATTAGCCTGTTTGAGTCTTGTAACAATTCTTTAAGGCGAGCACAGGTCTTGTTACCTTAATGAGCCTGAGGTTGTCTATAGTCACACAGCAAGTGGCTGAATTAGGACGAGAATGCCCGGCTCTGCACACTCTTATTACCTTTTCTAGAGTCTGGCAACTTCTCAGAAGTTGGAGGTAATTCCTCTCCTCTGGAATCTAAATGTAAAGCTCAAGTAACTATGTTTTGTATAAGCAAAGAAAGAATCATGTTGAATTTGTGAGCATGTAGTGAGGGGAGAGTCATTACAGGGGATGGGGGTGTGTGGCCAGGACCCCCTGGTGGAGGCCAGACGTGGGCAGGGGCCGTCATCTTCAGGATCAAGGTCTCCACCGGTGCTCCAAGCTTCCCTTGCCTCAGGCCCACTGCCTCTACCAGGGTTTTCTCCCAGTGGGAGGGGTGAGGAGGCACAAGATAGGCTCTTCCAAACAAGTTGGGCATTTCTCCAGGAGCCAGAAAAATCCACCAGTGCTCAAGCAGGCTGGAAGATGATTCTGTTTTTCCAAGCTCTGGAATAATGAAGACTGCACTGTGTACATGTTTGCAAACAAGAAGGAACAATACGCGCATTCAACATGTAGCATTTTATTTGCAGCTCCATTGTGCAGGACAGTCATTTGTTAGGACTTGATTATAGCTGTCACTTTGTGCAAAAACTGGGGAGCGTGGGCCCTGCTCGGAAACGAAGGCTCGCCGACTTGTGAACTGCAAAGGTCCGTCTTTCCCATTGGGCACTAATGATTCTCACGAAGGTAGGCGGGGGAGCTTGGTTTAAACAGAGAGAAGTTGACAACCGCAGAGTAAACAAGACCATCACCAATGCATCTGCTAGTTGTCCTCTGAGTTTGACGGGTTCTCGCTTTAAAGTGGCAGCTCTATGTGCATGCATGAGTATTAGAACTGCACTTGCAATGGTGAGGCTAACATTTGCTTTGATGCAGGAATGCTAATTTCCTCTTGACTCAAGTAAGTCAGAGAATAGGAGAACCATGGCCGTCCCAGGGATTTTGTCAGTGAGGCTTCAAAGGGTGAGGGCACCATCCAGCCAGCCAGCCAGCCATTGCCCCTTGAGGGAGAGCTCTTCTGACAAATCCTTGAAGCCTGGGGCCCCTCCCTTCTGGGCCTTGCTGCCTCCCAGTGAGTACAGGTTGCTGGGAATTTGGGGCTTAGGATCTCTGAGGAACATCAGCTATATACAATTTCTCAAACTTGCACCACCCACCACCTGAATCTTTCCTCCTATCGATAACCTAGAGTGGCTTGCAGTGATAAAAATAATATGAATGATGTCAAACACTCATGGCTGTGTCCGATAGGCCAGGCACTATTTTAAACGTTTCACCTTTAGTAACTCACTTTTTTGTTCTCATAACTCCAAACAAGGCAATTGCTGTCATCACCATTCACATTTTACAGAGAAGATGCTCAGAGTCTCAGACACTGGTGGAGCAGCACCCCCCACCCAGTCATGCTTCCAAGCAGTGGGCTGGACTGCCTCTCAAGGTAGCCCAGCCCCGGCCAAGTCCGACCACTTACTTCTGGGCCGCCTGTGGGGAAAACACACATTCCACTAGAATTACTCATGTGAACAAAACTGCAAAGGCCAGCTGGGGGACATACTCGAATAACATCCTGCTCACAACGGTCATGAACACAGAATAAAATACCCAAGCAGATAGTTAGCAAGAAAGGTACCGGACTTGAAACTATGAACTATGTAATTGTGTCTAGCTGGGTAGCAATACATGTCAAAGTCCTCATAACTATTCGGTAGTCAGAAAAGTCATGACATATTTTTTCTGTATTTTTCATTGCAAAAATGCGTCATGACTTTTCCGACAACCCAATATATAATTTTTGACCCCAAAATGTCTCTTCTGGGGATGTATGCCAAGGAAATAGTCATCAATAAGAACAAGGGTTCACTCACAAGAATGTTTATCCCAATACTGCTTATAAAAGTAAGAAACTGGAAACAAACTAAATGGACAGGCAGGGGTGAAACAATAGACTAAGTCAGTTATGCTACACACACGCGTGTTGGACACAAGCGTGGGTGCCTCCTGATTCCCTGGACAGTCTGCTTCGTTCCATCTTTTGGCCTTGCCAACCCACCCGCACACAGTCACTCTCTGTTACTGGGCCTCACAGCTTCCTGGGCAAACACCAAGGCACTGGATGACACCACAGGGTGATGCATGTGACCCCTGACCTACTGGAAACAGGAAACATGCAGGAATGGGGCAGATACACCCCGTCTACTTTCCCCCCCAGGAACTACTTCATGGTGAGGTTCCTCCTTGCAGCCCTTCTGAGGAGCTCCCAATACCAAAAAAACAAGTCCGGGGAGTGGCCTGTTGTATCTATTTGCAGCTTGTCCTGAAATTGAGGCCAGCCAGATGGGGACTCATCACAGGGCATTGCTTTGTGTTTGTCTTTCCTTTTCGTCTCACTACCTAGACCCTGGGCCCCACACCTCCCAAATAAAGTATCAGCGCTTTAATCCTTGCCTAACACTGTATTTTCTAGAGGGCCCATGTTTAAACAAAACACTCAGCCGTTATCTAAAACGACGTTGAAGACTGTATTGTTTATATACATATATTATTTTCTGTATTATTATGATGTTTTCACATCTTAAGAACCTTTCT